CTGTGCTGTCTTCTCAGTACCATAGAACAGCCTGGTACCAATGGTAAACAAGAAATTTCTCAAGGATTACTGGAATAGAATTCATGGACCAAAGAATTTAGACCAAGAACACCACCAAGACTAGGATCGTGCCTTTCCAATATTTTGGAATTATTTTTTGGAGTTGTTTAGGGGGCGAGGCGCTGGGCATCAAAGCATTCGACCGATCACTTCCATCCGTGCAACACAGACACCATAGCCGCAAGTCATTTTGAAGACCACAGAGACTTTTGAAAACAAAAAGGGGATTAACCAGGAAGGAAGGCGTTCCTCTGAAGACAGTCAAGGCCTCCAACTCAAGGTCAATGCTGCACTATTAAACCACAGCACTGTCGTGCGACTAAAACAGTGTTTACAAACCTCGAGCAGGCTATCTCACACTGGCACAACCCTCAGGCATTATTACTCCTATACGGGAGGAGGGGCAACGTTTCCGGCCCCGTCTTTAATCCAAAGCACCATCTCACAAGAAAGAATGGGCCTTCGTATGAAAGACAAACTGGGGAGTTTAACCGGCGAGTAACCAGCAGGATCGAGGGGCTGAAAAGGGAAGGCCAAAACGAGCTATTACTCTCCGAGATCAGCTAAAATGCTTTGCAGCATTTGCTTTCCAATAAACAATGTTCTTTAAGATTATGCTTGTTAGTAATTATGCCCTGTCGCTTATCCAGGGTCGGGTTGCGGGGGCAGCAGTCTAAGCAGGGATGCCCACACCTCCCTCTCACCAGCCACCTCCTCCAGCTCCCCCGGGGGAATACCAAGGCTCTGCAGTGTGTCCTGGGTCTGCCCCGGGGCCTCCTCCCAGTTGGACATGCCCCAAACACCTCCCCAGGGAGCCGTCCAGGAGGCACTGGCAACAGAATCCTTTGTTCCATATTACATTTTGGAGGCCTTTCACACAAAAGCCCACTTCTTGCTTGCATAGGTTCAACCAACAAGCTGAATATCTCACATGGACATTTATCTGTAAACCTCTTTTCTCCATGAGCACTATCAGTAAACAAAGAAAAAAAAAAGGGGGCAGCTTCAGTTCTTCTACAGACAAAACACAGGAATTAAGGGCGATTCGCTGACAGCAGAGAAAACCACTGAAATCCACTATGAAAACAAACCGTGATGATATTTGTGGCACAGGCTTCAACAGGCTACTGTACCAGCAAATCAACTGGTGCTGCCCTCCTCCTTATCCCACTTCCCCGCTGTCCCAGAATCCACCAGGCAGCAGGCCCACTCACAGCCAATGGCGAGGCAGAGAGGAAGCGGCCCTGGAAGCCTGACAGGCGGCGAGCTCCGCGTGCCCATATAAGGTAAAATCTGCTGTCAGCAGTACTGAGAGAGCAGCAGCGGCGGCGGCGACAGCAGCAGACTCCAGGAATACAGAGTGGGGAGACAATGCAGCATATGGAACGGAGAACACCGCACACAGAACAGACATAAGGGGGGGTGAAAGTGCCAGTGGTCTTATGAACAAATCTGACAGAATTTGGGGGTCAGACACAGACCAACACACACTGGGAGGTGGCTGGCGGGGCACAAACTGTCTCATGTAAGGCGGCATCTTCAAAGTCGCCTGGTGGGAACTATGGAGGAGAGGAAGGGGAAGATGATGATGATGCAGCAACAGCAAGCGAGCAGACAGGGAGACCGTCGTCTGTCAGCAAACGAAACATAAGGCAAGCAGGTGTGTAACGAGCAATTTTGAAATCTGCTCACAGTGTTTAATCTTCCTTTATCCTCATCCCTAAATGCCGAGAGGGAAGGGGCGTCCACATGATTTCCACCATTCCGGGCGTGAACGAATTAGAACGCTGAATGCAGGGAAAACCCCGCCCACTTCCCTGATAATTCTGTCTCCTGATGCTCTATTTCCCCATGCAGGAACATGCTGGGAAAGAGCTGCCAAAACCCAAGTCTACCCAGATGACGCAGGATGCGAAGGGAAAGTTAAAAAAGGCCAAACCATGGCCCAAAATAGCCCCCGGACACAAGAAGTACAACAATGAGAGTGAGAGTGCTGGAGGGGTGATATTTAGAGGTAGAGGCCATTTCAGAACGGCTGAATTATGGTCAGAGCAGACTTATCATGGGCAGCCGCAAGTCTCACAGAGCCAGAATCAAGCCTGACCTAAAAAACTTTGGCTGAATCACTTTTCGGACACAATAGGCTGATTTATAGACAGAGCCTCCTTAATTAGGAACAAGGAGCAACTGTCCAAATGCTTACGCTGAGCGGCCCAGCCTGTGGCAAGGAAGGAGCCACTGCATTGGCCCAGAAACTCCTGACTGAGCACGCGAGCGGCAGAGGGGGCAGGGGGGGCAGGGGGCCGCCGGCCTTCCCCAAGGCAGCCAGGGGGGGCAGGCCGGATTCCTCACTCGGCAGAGTTTGTGGACTACAGGTCCTGACATTCTTTTTAGTAAAAACTGGGAGTTAGGCCCCCATATCGAAAGCACAAGCATGCATAGCTGCACACTTCTGCGGAGAGGGGAGGCGGGACACCCACATGCCTGGCGAATTTAGACAAGTCTATACTATGACTTCTGGTCTATTCTGCTATGAAGCTACAGGGGGAGAAAAAAAAAAAAAACCTAGATGTTTGTTCAAATCATCATCAGACAGTCCAGTCAATGGAAAGCTAGACATGTTTCACAACAAATCAGAGCCTGAAGATGGAAACATAGTGCTCTCTTGAAAAAGCCATTTTCAGATTGTCCTTGAGTATGTCTAGCTGGAGGAGATGGGGAACGGGAAAAAATGAATTAGATACATCTTTCACATTCCTGTGACGCCGGACAACATAATGGTAGATTTATTTTTTGTGAAAACAAGCCGATATGAATCTTGGCACAAAGGCGACGTGCTGGTTTAGCGCCCAGTGGCGTGAGCCAAGTGACGACAGGCCGAGGGTCACATTAGAATGTCAAACGTGGCTCAGATGACGTGGCCTCCGATAGGCGTCTTAAATTACACAGTGGGGGGTCACGCCTGTCATCGCCACTGCCACACCACTGCACCCAAAACCTCGGACGGGGTGGGGGGGAACACGTCTGGAACAAACACAACATCACACTAAATACCCCTATGGCAAATATCTTGCTTACCCACTTATGCGATATGCGTTGCAGAATTAAATTCATTTCACTCCAGCCAAAGAGGGAGATGGTTATCTCCAAGTACCGGAGAAATGCTCATTTTCCGCCACCATCACATGGGGAACGAAACAATCACAAAAAAGTCTGTTTACAGATAAATGGGTCCCAAAATTCTTTTTCTTACAATGTCATGGTGAAGTGTCTCAGACTACATATCCCATTTGTGGGTATGGCAGCGTGGTTTACAGAGACCCAGAGGGACCGGTCCTGGTACACAAAGATGCAGCAGGATAAGTGGAGTGTGAAGCAATGGGTAGATGGGTATCTGGACAGTCAGGAAAATCCAACCAGCATGGCGCCAAACACTATGAGAGGCCATTGACAAAGTGCAGTTTTTTTTTTTTACTGCATGCAGAAGAAAAACAAAAGATCATACTTTGAACCACACATAATGATACTGTTTCAGGCAGAAAAACATTCCACTAAATACGTATTTTAGAAAAACAAGGGAAAACTGTATCCAGAGCTCAGCTTCAGAAGACCTCCTGCAATCCATTACACATTCTGCATTTAATGATCTTCTGCTGACTTTGGCCGGGGTGGGGTTCATCGCCTTACCTCATCAGTAACAAATTACACACATCATCCCAGACACACACTCAACGTCATGTGACCCCACTGCGATAATTCCCAAGATGCATCACTGTTCCTTGGATTGATCGATAGACTAGCATGCTCTCCTTGTCGGGGCATGTTGGCTTGGTGGCAAGGCAATTAGATACTGCTCTTTATGTGGATGCTTGATAAAACAATGGTTCCATGGAGTCTGCGGTCCAGTCACCAGTTAGGGGTTTCTTGTGCAGACCCCTGGTTTAACTCCAGCTTTTTACCTAGAGTTCATCTTAGAAGTCCAGACTGTTCCATTGGGAGAAGAGTCCAACCAAGACAAGAAAAGCCTTAATTAGACAACAAATATCTAAAATACCAGTTTTCCCCACTACAAACCAATTCAGTGTAGTCACAACAAATTTACCCATCACTGGTTTATGTCTTTGGAGACCAATCGAATAGAATAGCAATACTTTATTAATCCCTGTGGGGAAAAGTTCTTTCGACCAACCCCATCTTGCTCTCCATGAGACACACAGACATATGCAGATGAGAGCAAGCTTGGAGCACAGGATCAGCCAGTGTGCAGCACCCAGGGAGCGGAGGGTTAAGGGTCTTATTCAAGGGGCCATGGACATGGAACCGTTCAGCAGAAGCTGAAAAAACCATCCTCAGAGGTGACATTTGTCCATCGCACATCATAACCCAAAGAATCATGGGTGTTCTATCCTAGTATGTCATCAGATGACAATTTCCAACAGGTCATCTCTGGGTTACAAGAAACTTTCCGTACTATCAGTTAAGGTAAAAATAAAGACAGGCTTGTGAGCTTATTTCTCATAGAGGTCAACATCTAAAAAAAGTTTTCCCCACAAATACAGCAAAACACACACACACACGACTGAAACAATTTTCAGCAAACTACGAAGATGGAATCTGTCGTTATGGTTCTCGACTCCCAGTTGGAGCAGCTACCTCAGCAGTAAATCCAGACGAAGAGGGTTATTCCCTGCAGACAGGGAGCGGCCGGCAGCACACACGTCTGAGGGAGAGCCGACTGGCAGCGTCCAAAGCCACACAAGCAGCTGGAAACTGAGCCCCCCCCCCCCCCCCGCGGTTTGATCATGCTGCCCTAGACGCCGACATAGAACCTCGTGTTTAAATGGCACCAGATAGACGTACAGCAATTGTAAGCAGCCCCAAGCACAGTGAGACACAACGGCAGAAGACCTTGGGACTGACTGGCTCCTTGCCACACTTACCTTGTGTAGGGGGAGCACCAGGAAGGCCCCTCCCCCGCTGGCCTCCACGATGATGGCCACGAACTTGGGGTTGACGGCACAGAAGGAGCTGTCCCAGGTGACACGCGATACGCGGATGTCATCGTAGCACTGGTCGTTCTTCACGGCCTGGCCGAAGACGTGACGAAACTTGCTCTGCCGCACGACGCGCCGGAACATGTCTGCAGGGGTGGGGGAGGAGGGGGGCACTGTTAGGGGCGCGGGAGCACAGCCCACGGCTGGAAATAACAGGAGCGCAGCCACCCCAACCTATGAGAGTCTAAACCAACATCACAGCAAGACAGATGCTCCTCTTTCACTCATTTCCCAGGCTGTCCCTGCCTACCTTCTATCTGTGGTCTTGCATTTCCTTAACTACGCAAGGTCTTTAGTGCACCCAAACAGGAAGCTGCGTGATCGACTCTCTTCAGATACCACCACAGAAAATGTTCACTTTAAATTGTTCTTTCATCGCTTAATCTACACTAGCCAACATGCCAGTGGATTATCTAGCCAGGTAATCGACTTTTGGGAAGTTCATTATATAAAGAATGTGCAGATCCAAAGATTACTGCTCTTCCTCCTGTTAGCAAAGTGGAATAAATCTGTTATAGGAATGTTATACTTAACTGAGCAGATTTGGGGAGCTAACATTTTGATAACATTTCATAGCGATAAAGCCTCATGATGTCAAGTTTCCATCTACATCAGAGAAGTATAAAAATGCAGAGATTCCTTGTACCTGACTGCATACCAAATGTCAAAAGAATGGCATCCCAGGCGTTTTCATGTGGGGGCTGGGGAATAGTCTACATCAGTAATCAGTAATCAATAATCAGAATCAGTAATCAGTAATCAAGTTCTCTTTATCATCCAGGTACAACTGCATGTACTAGGAATTCGCTTTGGCAGTACTGGTACTTACATTCACAGATAATTTATGTTCTTTGTTCTTCAAAGTTAAAAAATAGATAAAATTAAATAACAGAATAAAAGGAATAAAACAGGCCAGATCAGTACAAGATGTGCAATATACTAACAATTATAAGGACATTAAAGGAGACAGAGATTGAATGTTGGAATATGTATGCACATTGTATGAAAATATATGATTTCCAGTGACAGAGGCACGAGGTGTGTCAGTGGGGGTAGGAGGCTTGTTGAGTTCAGCTGCTGAAGGGAGCACATAGAAATCATCTGAACAGTGGCTGAGAAAGTGGACCTAAAGACAGGCAGCCCCCAGGTAGCAAACGAGATCCATTCCCAAAGTCAGTCTTTAAGTCGAATTTGCAGACAAGTCAGAAAAACTAATACGGTACATAATAATTATACAGTAAAAATATAGTAAAAGTATTACATACAGTTTGGTACCGACCCTGAGCCGACGAACCGCGGAAACCACACAATGTTTTCACAAGAGTCACAAAAGTACATTATTATGCAGGACTGCATGTGACCCGAATTGTTAATAAAATACACTTTATGGTACTCCATTCTTAAGTATGGGTGTCCGTAAGTCAGGGGACTTCAAAATGAGTTATTGTAGCTAATTACGGACACAGAGTAACTAAAAAAAAGACAGAGGCAAAGAGAAATCAAAGTACTGTGATGCATCACAACTTGGAGCTCCACCCAACAGTAAATAGTTGCCACAAAACAAACAAAACTCACCTTCTCCATGTAAACGAAACCCCAAATAAAAGCCTTAAGAACCAACTGCACCTGCCCTTGAGGAAACACCAGCATTACAAACGCAGATACTTTCTTTTCTGAACTTGGGACAAGGTGATTTGATGACAAACTCCAATGCATCTTCTCTGCCACTCAGACTACGCATGGATCACGGTGTCGGCCAATAAGGGCGATGCCGAAATGCAAATATGACAACGTATACAAAGGCTCAAGTTAAAGCTGTGTCTGACAGTGAACTCCAATGGCTTCCTGTAGACTGAAGACTGAGTTATGGAGGATTCCAAGAAAGGCAGGAGCTAGTAAACCTTCCCAACAAATTCAGCCAAACCACCGATCTTTATATGTACTAAAGTGAAAAACAGGAACCATGAGAGATCCATTCAGGACTGCCCATTGCTCCCAGCATAAGTCATAGAAAACATTTTAACACCAGTTTAAGGAACATTATGGCAGAAACTTTGAAGGCCAAGTACCACCGTAAAAAAACTCAATTAAGTGAAAACCAATTTAAAAGCTGACATCTGGAAGTCAATGCTTCATATCGCACAAACACACATGTGAAAAAAGTTTTTTTTTTTTTATAGACTTTGTTGTGAAAAATTCCACTAACATTTTCAACACAAACACGAAATGACCAAACCCAACAAAGGGGTCGCTTTGTAGCCTCCTCAGCTGACAATTCCGCATAGTAAAACTGTCTTGCTGCATTAAGTGCTTCATAAAACGTGATTTAGGATCTAACAGCAGCTGGCTTCCCATACGGTGCCCAGACCTTAGAGGAACACCAGCCAGCAGCAGGCAGACCAGCCTCATGTGACAGTAATCAAAGCAGACGTCAACTGGTAAGCAGCATAAATCAATCACCAGAGGGATTTCTTCAGCCTGCCGCCATCGTAAGGCCCATTTAGATCACTGTCACAGACAAGTGCTGGAACCAATTAGCCCTCGCCTTCATGACCCAACAAGTTACAGGTAGCATCTGTTTTTCTCACACGTGCTTTTCAACAAAAGATATACAAGCTTCTACAGATAAAATGTGCACCGAAAATTGGGAAATAAAAAATAAAAAATATGAATAAGAGAGATTCAGTAAAAGTGAACTATACTGACCAGGCTGTGTTTTGGTTCTCTCTCTCACACATGATTTTAGGAGTCATCCAAGGTTCAAAGGGAACTAGCTTTTCAATAAAAACAAGAACAACATTAGGGCAAAAAATCCATTTCAAGATCTCAGGGGACATCTGATCTGATCTAGCGATGAAAGAATCGAAGCACTTTCCTCCCCATAAACACCACACCATCTTCTTTCTGTTTCCGTCACTTGAGGATAGCTAGAAACATTCATCCAGGGTGACGTACCTCCGGATCTGCCGGTTGAAACCTCTCTGGCTTTTATGCATTCTCAGGTTGCACCTTGGCACCAACTATAGTTCACTGGGATCATTCTTCGTTTTTGGGAGGAAAGACGCCAACATCTGCCTGACTTAACTCAGCCGTGTCCTTCATTTCACTCTGACCGGAATTCGTCAAGAAGGACAAGGAACCAAAGTGAGGTGTTCCTCAATAGCCAAACAGCAGAAGCAAAGACATGGGATTAATGCTAGATTTACACCTGCAGCAGCAAGAGAAAGGGAGGATCAATGAAATTCCAGAACAATGCTCAATGGGGTTTCCAAAGCCAACACACTATTGGTCTTTGTCTTATGGCTTGCAAGTCGTCGATCTTTTGGACAATCAGCACATTGTTTCTCATGTACACTGCCATCCATCGTGGGCATAATTAACCCTCACCATCTGATTGGCAAACCTGGAACTGAGTGTGAACAGAGTTCACAAGTGGCCATTTCAATACATGCAAAATATCCATGGAAACCATTTTCTCTCATCATGCAGCCTATCACACAGAGTGCTTGCACATTAAAACTGGGTCATCCATTTTCATAATTTCTCTCCTGCATTTTCTGCCTATACCGTGACTGCCAAAAATAAAAATCCCTCCACATAATAGCATGTTAGAAAGAGCTTGAATTTATCACCTTAGAAAGGAAAGAGGAAAAAGCCACATAAAGGAAAATGTCGAGTTATTCCAAGAGAGGCATTTGTCTTCTACTAGGCAAACAAAAATACTACTTAATACATTAATGTATTAAGAGCTGGTCCATTCCATTCCAGATGCTCAAGGCCCCCTCAAGCTCCCCATGAGCCTGTAACCTGGCCTCCTACAGATCAGGTAAAGGCCCATCCAGTGAAATTTTCCACCTGTGCCATCTCCAGGTGGAACTGCTGTGTTAGAATCTGGTCTTCAGATCCATCTCTTCATAGAAATCTCTTTTACCATCTGCAATGAGAGCACTCTGCTTTGCGTGTTTACAGATTCTTAAATGAATAACAAACAAATTCAGAAAGGAAGTTCCCTCTTCGGTGGTGGTCATGGTTTCCAAACGCCTGAAGGCTGCATGCATCACCTTTTCTATTGCACAAGCGTGGAAACCATTTCCAGGAACCAAAACGCACTGATCAGTCACATTCATCTTCCAGAGACTGGCAGGTAGGCAGAAGTCAATACAGGGAATGCTTTGTACCTGCAGGGCATTAAGTAACTTGGGTTTAATTAGTCTTGTTAGAGCTTGTCTGCCAAGTCATACATTCGCAACACAAACCTAGTGACTTTCAATTTCAAAATTTTATAAATGATGTGCCTTAATCACATGACAAACTGGCCTTATTTGGGGGAGATTGACCAATGATAATGCCAGTAATAAAACAAAGTAATAATCATACTAATTATATAAAACTGGCCATACTGGAAATAGCTCTCATATGCTACCTATGCACACATGCACATACTAACATATCCAAGACAATGGGCTGCTGATTAGCTGTGGAACTTCTATTGATCTTGTAGCATTTAGCAGGCTATGCATGTTCTTGTAACAACTGTCTATTGTGATGTGTGTCTGGTGGGTATTTGGATACTAAGCCTTCTGCTTACAAAGCACCTAATCGTTCGAATTCTGCTACCCCTATAATCTTGTTCTTTCTCTACACAAAACATGTAACAAATGTTAGTTACACAGGAAAAGGACAGAAGGGACATTCAACCACCTTGCTTGCGATTCCGCACACCAAAAAGCACGATATATTTAAACAGTCACTCCCTCCCACACTACACTGAACCAACGCACAACTGCATGGCCTGATCCGACCCAAAACTACAGGAAGCCGCAGTTGAGGAAGATCTATCAACCAGGAAAGGAAAATGCAACTCTATAGGAAAAAAATGTATCCATGTGGCATAAACTTAGGAAATGATAGTTTGCATTTATTTCCTTATTCCACAAGCCACAGAGACAGAAGTATTTGAGGTTTAAGTTCAAGAGAATTATTTAGCACTGTAAATCATAACTGTAAAAAGGTCAAGCTGTTCTGTTTCTCCTTCTCTGAAAACCCAAACTCAAACAGACCTCCAGGGCAGCAAGCAAAGGCAATG